CAGGGGCCAGGGCCTCCGAGACAGAGGTGGAGCGGCGTGGGGAGGAGCAGGGCCTAAAGTGGAAGACAGAGGTGGGGGGCGTGGACCCCCGCTACTGCCCCTCCCTCCCCTGACGGAGGGGGGGCCGGCACCCCGGGGTGGAGGGAGGAGGGAGCGCCTGGGAGGAGGCCAGGAAAGGAGCCGGGGGAGCTGCGAGGAGGGAGCCCCTCAGAACCCTCCGGAGGGCAGGTCCCCTGCAGGAGGCGAAGGGCGCAGCCCGGGAGGAAGAACGGGATGACCCTGGGGATCGAGGAGGCGGAGCAGGCCACTTCCCCAGGCCTACAGCATCAGCACGCCAGCACCCCAGGCCTGGCCTGCTGTGCCCCGAGAGGGGCTGGGACAGAGCGGAGAAGGGGATCGGCATTCCAGACGGCTGCCGACCACACTCTCCAGCCCCGCGCCCCGAAGGGCCGGACAGAGGCTCGGAGGGTTGCTGGGCGCGCTGAATGCGTGCACTGGCTGGAGCCAGTTGCCAGGGGGAGGGGCATAGGGAAACGGGCGGGGCGACAAAGGGGAGGAGTAACTGGAAGGGACCAGTGAGAAGGAGAGGTTGTGGGAAGGGGCGGGGCTACTGAACTGAGGAAGAGCGATAGGGCGGTGCAGCATCCCCTGAAGGGGAGGAGCTCTTGAAATGAGGTGTGAGGGCGTGGCCTACAGCGAGGGGCAGGGCGGTGCCCCTAAAGGGGAGGGACTACTGAAATGCTTGCAGTGGTCGGTGTCCTTCAGTGGGAGAGAGTGGGAGAGGGAGGACGAGGGGCAGGAGGGGGAAGAGGATGGAGGCCAGGGCGGCAGGGTGGGGCTCAGCGCCGGCCTCAGCAGGGCGAGGTGGAGATGTGCAGGTGGTCCGGGTACTTGATGGCCGGGGGGTAGTTCTGCGTCATCTGGATGGAGACGTCGCTGGAGATGTCGGAGGGGCTGCGGCCGCGGCGCCAGGCCTCGGGCTGCAGGAACTGGCCCGAGTAGTCGGAGCAGTCGCTGAGCCGCGGGCGGTAGAAGGCCGGGTGCGGGCGGTACATCTCCTCCTCGGCGTAGCGCTTCGTGAACAGGTACACCGACATCACACCGGCCCCCTAGGGTAGGGCAAGGTCACCCCAGAAATCAGGCGTCCCGGCCCCTCCTCCTCCAGGACCCAGGGCGTGGAGCTCCCAGGCCCCTTCTCTCCGGGGCCCAGGTTCGCCCAGGTTCGGGCCTCAGCCCACTCCCTCCTCCTGCACCCGGGATCAGGCCAGACCCTGCCCTTCCCACTCCAGGTGTGGGCCCAGAACTTCACCTCTTTGAGCAGGAAGGAGGAGGCCGCGAAGGCAAAGGACCAGCCGTAGCGGTAATGGAAATACTGCTCCGAGCTGCTGGGCCTGTTCATGACCTCGTCGTTGATGCTGGAGATGTAAAGGACCAAGCCCACCACCAAGGAGAGGCCTGGGGAACAGAAGGACGCCCTGGGCGTCAGCCAGGGGTCCAGGCCCGCCCATTGCCTCCCCTCCTCCTGCCCACAGAACGGACCCTCGGGAACAGGCTGGCAGGGAGACGCTGGAGCTCAGATATTCGCGGGCAGGGGCCGAGGCCTGGGTGGGGCCTCCCTGGAAACATCAGTAACAGTGGCTGCTCACAGAGGTCTCACTCAAAGACCACCCCGAAGGGCCGGGGGTTTAGCTCGGTGGTTCCACCCCCTGCCTCGCAAGCGCAAGGTCCGGAATTCAATCCCCAGTACCAAAATATAAATTTCAAAACAGCGCCCGACCCCTGAAGGAGCCACGCGCCATCTCCGCGAGCGTCTGAGGAAATAGAGGCCCGGGGAGAAGGTGGTGAGCAGGGGTGAGACTGAAAATTCTCAAAAGGCAGGCGTCTCTCTGAAGGTGCACTTGGCTTTGAACAGCAGCCGTGCATGCCCAGGGGCATCCTGGGAGACTCCAATGCACCAGCCCTGACCAGCGCTAGCTGGTGTTTGCCAGCCTCAGATGCCTACAGAGAGGCGTCTGTGTGCCCAGCGCACCCAGCGCAGAACCGAAATCTCTCTGTGTCTCCTGAAAGGGTCAGCATTCAGTCCAGTGCAGTTTCTGTTTCTGTGCAGTTCAGGACTGGCTTATCATTCAAGGGTTGGAATCATTAAATCAAAAAATTAAATCATTAAAGGGTTGGAAAATAAATCAAAACAAGAACAATGTTTTGTAGCCTGTAGAAAGTACTTGAATCTCATTTGGTAGTTCTTCGAAAAGTTAAAAGACAGAATTTCCATATGACCCAGCAATTCCACAACTAGGCACCCAACCAAGAGGCATGAGAACAGAGGTTCACACAAAAATGTCTACCAAAGTCTAGCAGCATCACTCATAATAGCCAAAAAGAATAAACAACCCAAACTTCCACCATCAGATGAATGGATAAAGGGGATGTGTTCTATCCAGAAGGAATATTATGCAGCCAGCAAAGGGAGTGAAAACTGGTTTATGCTACAAACGGTGGATCTAAAAACTGTGCTTTGTGAACAAAGACAAACACAAAAGATAACAAATAATGCGACTGTGTCACAGCCAAGTGTCTAGAATAAGCAAATGCATGGAGACAGGAAATAGATGGGCATGGCCAGTGCGAGAGTGGAGGGCATGAGGCTTTCAGTGAGAAGCACTTAGTTCATTGGGAAGTGAACTAAGGAGATGGGCGCACAGCTTTGTGGAGCTACTGAAACCCACAGAGTTATGAACTGTACATTGTGAATCATAGATCAAATTTTAAAAGTATGTAAAGTTTGCTGGGCATGGTGACGCTCGCCTGTGATCTCCGCACTCGGGAGGCTGAGGCAGGAGGATTACTGGTTGGTTACGTAGTGAATTTAAAGCCAGCCTGAACTATTCTATTGAGACTTTTTCTCAAAAACAAACAGAAAAGTGGGCCGGGGATGTGGCTCAGTGGTGCTGCACCTGCCTGGTAAGTGCAAGGTCCCGAGTTCGATTCCTACTACCAGGAACAAAACCCAAAAAAGTATATGACCTTCAAGTTTCTGCACCTACCAATAAAATGTCCTGGCACACAGCCCCACACTTTTGTTCTCAGCTCCTAGGACCATCTTCCTACTGCCTGAGGAGAGCCAAGCTCTAGGACGGGGACCTGCCAAGCCCACACCGACTGCACCACTGGCTGGTTCCTGCCAACCTCACCAGGCCACTTCCCCCTGCTGCCTCTGCGCAGGCCCCGGACCTCCTGCTCCTCCTCCAGTTCCTGGAGCACATTTCTGCCTCAGCCTCTGTTGTTGCTGTTCCTGCCTGGAATGCCCTCTCCCCACGCCTGGCTCTGCCCCTCCCTCCAGATCCCTCTATCCTTGTCCCTTCATAACACAGACCTAAGATCTCTCTGCTTAAAAAACAAAACTGCAAAACAACAAAACTAGGCCAGGGATTTAGCTCAGTGGTTCTGGCAAGCGCATGGCACAAGGACCCAAGTTCGATCCCTGTACAAAAAATAAAATATAAAACAATACAGCCCAAGGCTGGGGATGTAGCTCAGTGGTACTGTGCCTGCTGGCAAGCACAAGGTCCTGAGTTTGATCCCCGATGCCTCTGAAAACACAAAAGCAAAAAACAGCCCAGCATGCTGTCACAGGCCTGGGATCGCAGCGCTTGGCAGGCTGAGGCAGGACTGCTGTGAGTCGTGGCCATCCTGCGCCACACAGTGAGACCCTGCCTCAGAAATAAATGAATCAGGGCCGGGGATTTGGCTCAGTGGTTCCGGTACCTGCCTCACAAGCACAAGGACCTGAGTTCAATACCTGGTACTAAAAAATAAATACATTAATTAATCCATCAGTTAATTAATTAAAGTGAAGCTAAAGAAAAGAAAGCTCCCTCCGTCCAGCTAAACACATGCTCCTGGGAGCTCTGACAAGATGCCATTCCACATTAATCAAAGGGCTCAGGCATCCACAGCCTCACCAGTGGTGTCCTGCGGGCTAGGACAGGCCACCCTCTGTACCGCGGGGACGGAAGGCTGGCAGGACCCTGGAGGAGTGCGCTGGCACCTACAGAGCCACACTGGTCCCTGCCTTCCCCCTATATCCCGGGCTGGGATTCTCCCTGGACGAGAGAAACAGGAGCAAGCTCGCCACGTGTCACGGGAATGAGGAGGGCAGCAGAGCACGGAGAGCCATCCTGGTGTGCAGCCACGCAGCAGGACAGGTAGCCTGCAGATCACATGAGGCCTGGTGATTGCTCCAGACCACATCACTAAATAATAAAAAAGTAACAAGGGAAAGAAAGTGTACATAGTGGCTGGGCTTGGTGGTGCACGCCTGCGATCCCAGCACTCGGGAGGCTGAGGCAGAAGGATCACCACAAGTTCCAAGCGAGCCTGGGCTACACCGTGAGTTCATACACAGTCTGAACTACATAGTGAGATCCTGTCTCAAACAAACAAAAAAGTATATTGTAGTATCTTTTTTTTTTTTTTGAGACAGGTTCTCTCTATGTAATTTATGTATGATTCTCCTGCCTCAGCCTCCTGACTGGTGGGATGACAAGTGTGTGCCACCATGCTAGGCTCTGTAGTATGCTACCTTTCAAGCAGGAAAGTGGGCATATAAACATATATTTGATTGCTTCTTGGCCTTTTGGCTAAGATCTACTGTAAAAATACATACAAACATCTGCTTACTTTTGCAAAGCATCAGAGAAAAGAAAATAAACCAATGTGGCTGGTTACTTTTGGGAGGTAGGTGGGAACAAGGACAAGATGGGAGGAGTACATATTTTTATATGAACTCAGTAAGGGAGGGGAAACTAAGACAGAATATAGCCGGGCATGGTGATTTGGGCCTGAAATCCCAGCTTCTGTCGGGAGGCTGAGGCAGGAGGACTGCCGAGAGTGCAAGGCCAGCTGGAGCTACACAGGGAGACCCTGTCTCAAAACAGACACACGTGCTGGGAACAGCTTAACAAAGGGCACTGAACTCCCTTCCTGACAGTCCAGTGGGGGACGTTCTGGACCCCAACACCAACATGGATGTGAAGGCACATCGCATACTGGATTCCCGAAAACACGAGGCCATACTGATGTCTGTTAGAGTGAACAAGAGAAGGGGCAGAGGGTCATCTCGGTACCAATTCACCTGCCCAGGCAGAGCAGCAGCAGGAGCACAGCAGTCCTAGCCCCAGCAGGGAGTCACCGGCAGGGTCTCCCCAAGGCCAGGTCTGAGTCACGCCGGCCCCGCCGCCCCAGTGACACCGGCAGACCCCGTCCAGGGCAGTGTCCTGCTGGAACAAAACGCCGGCCACAGGACACTGAGGCCTCCCAGAGCCCCGGCCACTCTGAGGCAGCAGCACCCAGCACTGAGGAGAAGCAGAGCTGCCCCAGAAGGGGACAGGCCCGACACCAGCCAGGACGCCGAGATCCTCCTAGAGGGGCTCTGTGGGGAGGTGCAGGACCAAGAGGCCTTCTGGGGCCATGGGCCACCCCTGAATCAAAGAAAACATCCAGCCTGTCTGTCAGTTATATGACTGGAGGAGACGGGGCGGGAGAGGGGACAGGAGCGGGGAGAAGCAGCTCCAAAGGCAGGGAAGGTGTCACGGCTGCCCAGGGCCTGAGGTGGCCAGAAAGCCAGGAGGAGGAAGAGATGGGGCAGGGCTGGACACATCTATTAAACATCTCACCATCCACAGTGACACAGCTTGCTCCTTTTAAAGAAAAACATTAATATCTTCGTCTCTTTCTGTCTTAAATATACACACACACACACACACACATATGTGTGTGTGTGTGTGTGTGTATATTTAAGACAGAAAGAGACGAAGATGGAATAAGAAATACAAAGCATGACCCTATATAGTATCCTGATTTGGAGAGGAAATGCCTACAAAAGACAGTTTGGGGTAACTGGCGAAATTTAAGTTCGGTCTGTGCTTTAGATACAGGAAGGTACTGAGCCTGCTGTACTTGATTTTGGTGCTATGTTTCGATAATAAAGTGGCTCAGACACTTGCTGAGCCAATCAGGGGAAGGGTTTTCAAATTATGGCTAGGTGGCTCCATGTGTGCACTTGTGCACAAATGTATTCTACAGGTATGTACCACGTGTGTACACACATGTAAGCACACATGTATAGAGATAGTGCACATGTGGCAAACTGCTTCACAACCTGGCTGGGCATGCTGACCCACGCCTGGAATCCCAGTACTCAGGAGGCTGAGTCAGGAGGATCACCTCGAGTTCAAGGCCAGCCTGGTCTAGAAAGCCAGACCCTTCCTCAAAAAAACAAACAAACAGGGCTGGGGATGTAGCTCAAGGGCACTGAGCCCACCTCATAAGCAAAAGGTCCTGAGTTTGATCCCCGGTACCGCAAAACAAAACAAAAATCAACAACAACAACAAAAAAAACCAGTGAGGGTAAATGAGATCTAGGAGTTCCTTACATTGTTTTCGACATTTTTCTT